ACGAACGGGTCGCCAGGCTGTTTCGTCGGACTTGCACCGACTCATCAGGGGGCTGTGCCCCGACAGYCCMTCTGYGGATGGGYGKATGCATCTGCCACACTAGGTGGCTATGTACGGAGGCATCKTKGKAYTYTYTGCCCACGATTYATGTGAGTTCKTTTTTTTTTTTTTTTTTTTTTTTTGTAGGTTTTTTKTTTTTKTYTTTYTTTTTTGAGTCTTWTTTTTTTYTTTTTYTTTTTYTTTTTGTACTTAGTTCCCCCTCCTCCCCCTGGACGTCGTGGCAGCAAAGAGCTGTGCCCGTTCGTGACTAGAAACGGGCAGCAACTCTCTGTGATTGCCCGAACCTGGCACTTTTAGTGTCCAGGTGTGGGCACGTTTAAAGAAGGCAGGGTTAGTAGGGAAGAGGAGGGGAAGAAAAAGAGAGGTAATGGCCACGTACGTGGCCGCGAATTCAGACTAGATAGGAAGGTAAAAAGGAAGAAGAAGAAAGAACAGAAAAGAAAGGAAGGAAAGAAAAAAGGGGTAACAACCATGCTGGTGGCCGCGGGCGCGGGAAAGAAGGCTCTAGAGGGTGATGAGACTGCGCCTGCTCGTTTTTTGAACACGCTGCAGTCTGGCTGGGTGCAGCCATTTCCAGGAGCACCCGGCCTGAAAAAACGACCAGGTACTGTTGGGAATTGATGACCTTGGTCCTCTAGGGGGAGAACCAAGGCATCTGGCTCCTGGACATTGATTTAGATCGAGGGCCAGGAGCACTAACGAATTTTGTCTGGCTGTGGGCAAGGCAGCTGCCCACATGCCTTCAACTAGCTATAAAAGCCAGCTCTCCACCCAGCAGCCTCACACTTGTGGCAGTGCTGCTGTGCCATTCACTTGAGTGAATGTTGGCTGGCTGCTACTGTGGGGTGGTGCTGCCGGAGAGGAGGATGAGAGGAAGTGCTTCTGGTGGAGAGTGGAGGTTTGCTGGAGGAGGACAGGCTAGTGCAGCCATAGCCAAGGGCTGGAGGCTCACAGCCTTACCCCTGCGCTGGTGCTATGGTCGACAGGCTGCGTCAGGGTCTGAACGGCGTGGCAAGCGGCACCCATTTTAGTGGGGTTATGCTGCCGAAATTCTGGCTCGGCGGCAACCTTTTTGAGGGGGAGGTGCTGCCATTTTTTTGGCATTGCGGCAGCAGCACTTTCAGTGGAAGTGCTACCTTTTTTTTGGCACGGCGGCAGCAACAGTTTTCAGTGGGCACTTTCAGTGGAAGTGCTACCTTTTTTTTTGGCTCGGCGGTAGCGATGGTCGCGCCGTTGGGTTTTTGGTGTGTGGCGGCTATGGCAGACCAGCATGGTATAGAGATTGGGCTAGTGTTGGTGCACGATTGGGACCGTGAGGTATTGGTATGTGGAGCGATGGCGCGACATGGAGTGAGTGCACACAATGATTGCTGGAGCTTGCGGCACTTGCGGTTTTCACCCAGAGCCACCTTTATTTTTTTGCGGTGCGCGGTGCGAGCAGTTTTTGAGTTCTGGACCATCAGATGTTGTAGGAGATGGTGTGGAACGACATTGGGACCATCTAGGGCTGATTTTGGGACCAGGTGGGATTGATCTTGAGATTGGGACAAGCATGTTGGTGTGGCTATTGTGAGCGGACATGGTGATTGGAGGTGGCGTGGACTTGCGGTTGGTTGGGCAATATCCTTGGAGGTTAAGGTGAAGTTGGGACCGCGGTAGGACTGTCTGGGACATTGGGACCATGTGAAAACTCATTTGTAGGAACACCCTCCTGGAGGGCTATCTCACGTGAGTTTTTTTTTGTGTGGTCGGCCTTTTGCTTAATTGAGCATTTGGAGGAGAGATGGACCATCGTTCAGTGGAACAGCCATGACCTGTGGAGTTGTGAGCCGCATATTTTTTTCTACGACGATTATTTTCTTCTGATTGAAATATTACCCGGCTTTCTTGAGTGAGCCGGACCAAGCTTCACTCAAGGTCAGTTAAATGACTCAGACTTCCCTTCACACCTGTGTGAACCCACACTTTGCTTGACCCTATTCGTGTGAATGTTCGAAAGAAAGGTAGAGGAAAGTTGTGTGAGTCATACATGTGAATGGAAAAGTATGACTCGAGTTTGGGATTGTGTTGTTTCTTTTGAACGTGTTTCTTTGCATGTTGTGCAGGTAGGTAGAAGGATGCCTACAAAAGAGTTTGATTTATGCCTATTCGGAACAAATAAAAAGGATTGTCTTCCTTCTACTTACTACCTGCCTGTTTGTAAAAAAAAACTTGTCATTCTGAAAATGGTTAACGGAACTTAATTCAGTGAGTGTCGTAAAAATAGCTTTAAATAAAGAAAACAAGGTTAATTTGACTTAGTTTTTCCTAAGATTGACCCTTTCTTTCTCGAATGATCTTATCTACCTATACCTGTCTAAATGATTCCCATTCTTTATCTTTTTTGTTTCATTTCGTCTAAGTAACCCTGAACTCAAGAGAAATAAGAATGACTGAAATCTACTCGTGGTGGACATATTATTTTTCCCATTCCCTTTCTCTAGGAAGCATCTGGGGCGGGGGCTCGTTGCTTCAGGAGCCGACCCTGCTATCGACCCAGAGTGAACCGTTGTACGGGGGGGTACTTCGCCGATTCGGTGGAGACGGCCCGACTTATGGGATTCGAGCCTTGTGCTCGGACGAGGAGGAGGAGTACCCCAGACCACTTCCTAGAGGAAGAGGCATGCAACACGTCAAGCAATGCCCCTGATCAAGAATCATCCGCAAAACTTGTCATCCAAGAAGATTGAGAAAGTATGGAGACAGGTGTGAGCGCGTATAATCTTGGGTTGGCGGTAGGCTGAGATGAATGACTTTGGCAACGCGTCTCATCTAGTCAAAACTGAGGTTGTCCAACAACCATGTTGGCAATACCTATACTATTGTTGATAGCCAACTTCTCGTTGGCGATTGTATGATTGTCTCGTGATATTCGACCTGAGGCGGTCGGATTGTTTTTGATCTTGTGTTGTTGAATGTATCAAATAATGATTTGGATGCTCCCAGTTGTTACTTTGGATTGGATGTGCGTCCTATCAACTACGATCGACTCCTTCTGATGTAACTATGTATGGTTGTTACAACTTTTTTTTTATTGTGTTTTAAAGGGACTAGGATTAATGTAGGTTTTCACGCTTGGTTGAGACCGTCCTAGTCGACCGACGTCTGCTTCGTACCTAGGAGATCAGCGCCCTAGGAACGGACGACGCTCGGGTTCGCTTGGCGTTAACCAAGCGTATCTATACTACAGCGAACGAGCAAACGCCCTCGGCTGACTTACCTCTGCAATTGCATCTAAAAGCTTTCGCACATGGGTCAGTAGTTCGGAAGGGATACGCCCCTAAGGGTGGTGACAACCCCTTAGGGAAGGATAGCTTATGCCCCGCAGGAACCTATCCTGTCGTAAGGGACTGCAGGATGTACAGCTGGCGCACCCGGCTAGAGCGGCGAAGGGACGATGCGACCGCGGCCGTCTCGGCGGTTCGCGGGGTTATTATGCGTCGTTCCAAAGTTGTCTCTTGGTTTTGTTTTGTTTATCTCCTGCCTGACATGGCCGGGAGGGCTCTCGCCTTTGCGAAAAAGGCGGGAGCCGATGCGCTCGACATCGTCACCACGGACGTGAGTCAGTATAGGCGTCGTGTTACAGCAGGACGACGACAATGGTGATAGACCCGTAGAGTTCATGTCAGCGAGGATGCCCTCAGAGAAGGTAGCTACCTAGACATACGAGAGAGAACTCGACGCTCTCCGACAGGCCTTAGAGCACGGAAATCATTACCTGCTTGGGAGGCACTTGAAAGTGTATTCAGACCGCGAGACAAACGCAGGTCAAAATGACACCTAAGTTGACTAGGTGGGCCGCTGAGATAGACCAGTACGACTTCGAGCTCAAGCCAGTTAAGGGTAAATACAATGTAGTTGCGGATGCTCTAAGTAGGAGATCAGACTACTTTGGAGCCATAGTTCATTATCTGGATATAGGGAGTGACCTGCAAGAGAAAGTTAGACAGGCGAATGCGCAGGACCCTATTTATAGTGACCTCCTCAAAAGAGTTAAGGAGGCCCCAGAGATCGAGCCAGATTACCGCACTACAGAGGGATTGTTGTTTGAGAAGACTAATGTAGTAGACCGTCTATGCATTCCCAACAGTGAGGAGATCCGTATTCTGATCTTAGGGGAATGTCATGATACAGAGGGACATTTTGGTTGGCAAAAGACTTTAGCCAACTAGACTACTACGAGTGCCCCTCTAGGTCTTCTCAGACCCTTACCTATTCCTGACCAGCCAGGAGACTTCGTGTCCATTGACTTTATGGATACTCAAGTCAAGAGTAAGCACGACAAGAGCCAAGCCATGGTCATAGTTGATAGATTTAGCAAGTATGCAGTTTTGTTCCTTTGCCTGCAGAGGCACGCACCGAGCTAGTAATTCAGAAGTTTTTTGACTTTGGGGTTAGTGAGCATGGAGTCCCATTGTCTATAGTTAGTGATAGAGATAGCCGCTTTACAAGTCAGAACTGGCAGGAACTGATGAAAGTCTATGGGTCAAAGTTGCTGATGTCGTCTGGCCGCCATCCAGAGACTAACGGTTAGACTAACAGATGAACAAGATCCTGCAGCAAGTTCTACACATGTACATTAGACCAGATCAAGTCAATTGGGACGAGATGTTGCCCAAGGTAGCCAGTGCGTATAACAACAACGTGCACTTGTCCACTTGTCGCACTCCCAACGAGTTACACAAGTCCTTTAGACCGTGTAGGCCGTTTGAGGGACTTAACCGGGACCAGATTCACAGGCTACTGCCCGGTACTAGGGAGTTTGCGATACAGCACGAGAAAGAGTTAGCTACTGTTGTTGAGAACCTCAAGAAGGCCCAGCACAGAATGATAGAGCAAGCCAACAAGCACCATCGCCCATCGCAGTTCCAAGTAGGCGACTTAGTCTGGGTCAAGTCTAAAGAGTTTGCTCCTGAGGAAAACATCTCGCAGAAGTTACTGGCCGCGTATAGAGGGCCGTGGCCAGTTCTAAAAGTCAAGGGCGGAGAAGATGGACAGTCGAGATCCCAGCACACCTCCACACCTACCCCGTGTTTCATGCGTCAAAGTTGTTACCATGTGTGACAAGTCAGCAGTTTCCATCTAGAAGATCCATGATCCCTCCAGACATGGACAAAAGGTACGACATTGACGGCATTGTAGGTGAAGACGTATTCAGAACGGGAGGTTGAGGTCGTCCACAGAAACAGTATAAGGTCCGGTTTGCTTATCAAGAACCAGAGGACGACCGCTGGTTTACCAGAACAGAACTTCTAGAAACAGCTCCCGACGTAGTTAGAGCCTACGAGAGAGATAAGAAAGGCAAAGGTCCTGCCTTGGACTGAGTTATTCTCGGAGGACCTCGAATTTAGGCCGGCGGGAGTGAAACGGTTTTCACCTGTTAGCAGTAGCGAATGCAGGTCCCAGGGCTCGATCCCCAGTTCTCACCTTACCTGTGTACGGTACCTGTGTCGACCCTGAGAATTGAACCCGTGACCTGTGTGTGTTCGCAGAAGTTGGTAGGCTGTCGTAGGGCCTGTAGGTGTAGGGGTTCGATCTGTAGACCTGTCGGGTAGAAGTCTTAGGGAGTTCTAGAAGTCGTAGCTGTAGAACTTCTGAAGGGTCAAGGTCGTAGCTGCTACAGTCTTGAAAGGTCAAGGTCGTAGCTGCTACAGTCTTCGAAAGGCCAGGACCGAGAGTTCCGGAAGGTCCTAGTCGTGGCCTTTTGAAGCTGCCCGCGTTTAGACTGAGGCAAGTGGGCAAGTGGTGGAGTCTACCCGTGCTGAGTCAGCAGTCCCAGTCCCAGTCAGTCCTAGTCCAGTCAAGCAAATACCGTATGGGACTCTGTGTACCCAGGGCATGGGAAAGGGCCAGACCAACGAGCTACAGAAGTATAAATCAAGAGGCAGCACCCAGCCATTCATTCATTCCTGCGTAAGCCATGCGGAAGCGCTGCCACAGCGACTTGTGCGAGGTGGTCTGCAGTGAGCCCAAAGACGAAGTGGGCGAGAGGAAGAGCTTAGCCATAGCGATAGGGTAGCAGCGGCCATATCCGCCATAGCTGATAGCAGAGTGTAGTGTGTGTGAGTGCGTGAGTGTATAGTGCGATGCGTGTGGGATATCGAGGGTGATCCTGTGTGTGAACAGCAGCGTTGAGTGAGTGACGAACAGAGATTTGTACGGGCGCTAATGCGCCATAGCCATCTGAAGTGAGACTGTATCTGAACTGTGTTTCTGGTTACCATATCTCTGAGTTTTGAGTGGGCGCTTGTCGCCAGTTTGCTGCGCAACCTGTTTGCATGCATGTGAAGAGTGAAAGATAGCGAGTCTGATTGCATCAGCCTCTCGCTAATATTCCTTGCACAGGCTTAGATTGGGACTTTCGTGCTGATCTTTTGCTCTTGACAGAGGGAAGAACTGCTCAGAACAATTGAGGACATGGCAAAAGGCGGCCTCCGGACACTGGTTCTGGCATATTGTGATGTACACAATGGATACCCAAGCGATGAGCAGCAGGCTGAGAGCTGGACGGTACCTTCAGACAATTTGATCTGTCTCGCAATTCTTGGAATAAAGGTGCAATGAAGTCTCCATTCCTGACTCCCTTGCAGCAGACGTCCATAGGGATCAGTACAAGTGAGAGGAAGTTCATTGCGTCTGCACAGACTACTCTATCACTCCTTCTTCCTCTTCTTGAAGTTACTGTATGTCTGAAACGTTGTAATGTGCTACAATCATGTGTGAGTTCAACGTTTGGTGAAGGTATGTGTGGTTGGTGAGAGCAATCCCCATGTGCAAGTTCCCCACTTGGTAAGATTCTTCATGTTTTTTTAAAGGAGGTTTGCATGCATGGTTGATGTGCCTGAGATATGCATGCTATGTGTTCACGAGTAACCTTGGCAAAGATGTATATGCTCACTTTGACAGGTAGCTTTAATAGACATGCCAAGAGTGGTGACGTTGAGGTGTGCTGAATGGCACAGTTGAGATGGTGCAATTGGTGCAGCCAGACATCCGTGCTCCTGTTGTTCCTGTTGTTCACAGGTGTGTGGCAGGTAGGAAACATGCCAAGTCATGCAGTTAAGATGGTCTCCGTGTGGTGCAGTTGAGAGATATTAAGAAGGATGCAGTTGAACTGAGGAAAAATTGCCAACGTATACATTGGAGACATGTGCAGAACATGGTGCAGTTAAGGTGTGCTAAGTGTGGCACAGTTGAAACATGCTAAGTGCAAGGGGCGTTGGAAGTCCCTGTCATGGGTTGTCAAACTTGTGCCCATTCCATACATGCAAGCGCACGTGGTGCAGAAAATTGCTCACTTATGGCACGCGAGCGGACCCTCATGCTGTGGCGCACCGCATGTGCGGCCCACGGAGGAAATATTCACCCAGAAAAAAAGGGGTCGCAGACCTGGGTCAATGGTCACCTGGGCCCCTTTTGAAAATTTGTTGTGGGATGGGGGGGAAAAAAAAGTGTGAGAGTAATGTGACCACCTAATGGTCAAGACTGATGTCCCAGACATCTATTTGAGGCTATTTCTCATGCCCAATTGGACAAAAAGAAAAATATGTACGTGTTATGTGCTCAGTTGATTCACAATCCAAAACCGCATTCAAATGCTCCCATACACATCTGAAATGACCGACTGACTTGGGAGAGCAGATTCACACCATAGTCATGGAGAGAGATTGCGCAGCGGAAGCCAGAACCAGAAAAATGTTTTCAATCAATTATTTCTTAATCCCCATGCTCTCCTCCATGGACAATTGAGTACGATCCAGGATCTCAACCACCTGCAATCAACCCCCAACGAAACGTCAGCGAATTTTCAGTGAAGACTCCCCCTCCTTCCAACGACTCGTTCACCCAGGTATGGCACACTATTCCATCACGGCCCCAATCCCCGCATGTCTGTAGCCGTGGGCGCTGTTCTGACACAGGTCCCAGTCTGGAGTACCAGTCACCACCATGAAGAAGAAGCTGAACTTCGATGAAGAAGAAAATGACTGACGTGGTATGGCAGCACCAACCCCATAGCCGCTTGAGACAGACAACGGCTCTTTCGAACCTCCCAAACAGCAGCAGCAGCGGTAGTGATAGGCAGTGCTCTGAAGGAACCACCAACAAGCGCTGGACTCCAAGATGCAAGGGCGCCCCAGCTATGGCTGCCCAAGTCTTCCACGATGAAGATGAAGTTGACGAACAGTGCGCTAATTTTAGCGCTGCTCCCTTCAAGGCCGCTTGCTCCCCACTTCCAAAAAAGGTGAAACCAAAAAGCCCGTTCAGAGTCAACCTCTGCCTACTTCTACCCGACCCTCTCGACCTAGCACACAGCAACAGCCTACAGACCTATCTGACCATCCAAGCAGACCAGATCTACGGCCTACCTACCTACATGCATCTAGACAGGATACGGACCAAAGGGAATCTAGCAAAAGAAAAGGCCTACGGGCCCACCGGATTTCTAGAAAAGCAGAAAAGGACAAAACTACCAAGGCTGAACGCCCTAAGACTGCTAAGTCGAGACTTCTAGCAACAGATCTAAGGATCAAGCCCGATAGGTCCCGAAGCCAGCAAACAACACCTACAAGCTACAGGTCACAAGATCAAGTCCCGTGAGGCTGAAAACAAGGAAATGACAACCACGGTCACACCTAGTTAGTGTACAGCCCGCCTGAAACCTGCAATTCATTGCATACGACTGTACTTGAAAAGGACCTATTCCTTAGGTGGTGCACTCTTCCGTATCTACAAAAACAGCAAAACAAAAAAAAGGGAATTGTTGCTGGTACAGCACGCGAGCAGCTGTTGCACCGCACGGTGCTGTTTCAAGTATGGCCCATTCTAATTGCAACATGGAAATTGAAGTTATTTTTATTAAAGATCATTGCACCAAGAGAAATGTACTGCAAGTCTGAACCACCCCCTTCTTGCAACCTTGTCCATCCTTTTGATTATCATTCTAGGTCACAAGGTATAGAAAATATTTGCATGCAAAGACTAGAACTGGTTAGCCAATAGCAAGACACCCCTTCTCTGGACTCTGCAAGTCATGGATGTATCTCACGAGCCCTCAACCTCCACTTTAACAAGCACGGGGTCTCAGACTCTAGCATTGCAGCTGACTTGTACAAATCATGGGTAATCTATAAGGACTACCAGTTGCAAACTCGGTGTATACAAATGTTCAAACAAGAGTGCAGTTCACGATCTCACTTGGAACTGGTACGTATATCTGGGGGGCAGCCTAACCGCCACACTGAGGAAGACAAACAGTGCCTCGAATCCTTGGAGGAGCTGTTGGAGCTGGGTGCAGAGGTGGAAAGGACAACCAGCGGCATGGCAGATAGAGATCTGGAACAACATACAAACCCGGACGGGATGGTCAGCAGTGGGGACGAGCAGGAGGGACAGGGCATGGAAGTGGACCAGCAAGCCAGCACAGCTGGTGGCACGCAAAAACGCAGGTTTGACAAGCGGGTTGAGGAGACCAGGGTTGCCCAGGGTGCGGAAACCCCCAACGAACAACGGGAAGAGGAATCGCTGGACTGGTTGGAGAAGGCAGTGGCCGGGCTAGAGTGCGTTCGTAGGGTGGAATTCGAGCTGAACATGGCCTTTCATACGCATCATTGGACACGGAGAACCGTTTTGACTTTCTCAGAAGAGAGCAGGAGCTTTCCCTCTTATACGCCTAGCAGTACGGCCTGATAATCAATACGAAAGGTGATGACGTCGAGGTGGACCAGAGCAAGTTCAACAAACTCTTCTAGTGGCCAGTCAAATATGATGGGAGCGAGGAAATGGTAACCAGAACCTACAGACGCAAGCGACGGGCAGATGTGGACGTGGGGCTATCCCCGGCTCAGCGAAGGAAGGAGCTAAGAAGTCAGAAAAGAGTCTTGGAGACACAAATCGCGGAGCTTGTTGTAAATGGTGGCGAAGTGTGAGCAGGAGAGATAGCCTTGGGTGTATCGATGATGAAGTGATGGAAGGAGTTGAATATGAGTCATGGCGGCGTAGACTTTCTTGGGGGGCTTGTGGTCGGGTCGTCGAGAGAGGGCATCCGCAACGCGGTTGCTTTTGTCGGGGGTATGGCAAATGGTGAATGTGAACTGGGCAAGGAAGTCTAGCCAGCGGGCTTGGCGTGGAGTGATATCTTTCTTGGAGAGGATGGAGGAGACGATGGTGTTGTCGGTGCGGATGGTGAAGTATTGGCCGTCGAGGTACGGGCGCCAGACTGTGAGGGCGTGAATCATGGCGAGGAGTTCCTTCTCGTTGGAGGGGGAATTCATCTCCGGGGGAAGGAGCTTCTTGCTTGCGAAGGCGATGGGGTATTCGCCAGGTGGAGCCTCGGGGTGAGTGGGCGAGTCCTTGACGGAGGGGGTCTCGGCGGTGTCGCGGGGGAAATGTTGGGACAGTACGGCTCCGATGGCGAAGTCGGAGGCGTCAGTGGTGACATAGAAATGGCGAGTGGGGTTGGCGATCTTGAGGACAGGGGCCGTGGTGATGGTTTGCTTGAGTAAGTCGAAAGCGTGTTGGCGGCGATCGTTCCAATGGAAGGGTTTGTCCTTGTGGGTGAGTTCGTGGAGAGGGTAAGAGATCTCGGAAAAGTTGCGAATGAACGGGCGGTAATAGTTGGCAAGGCCGAGGAAGGAACGGAGTTGGAGGAGGGTCTTGGGTGGGGGGTACTCGACGAGGGCTGTGACCTTCGAGGGGTCCATACGGATGCCTTTGGCGGAGACAATATGGCCGAGGTATTCGACACTCGAAGCGGCAAACGTACATTTGCTGAGCTTGGCGTAGAATTTTTGCTCTCGGAGGATCGAGAGGACTTGGTGGAGGTGCTGAAGGTGGGACTCGAAGGTGGGGCTGAAGACAAGGATGTCATCAAGGTAGACGGCGACACAGACTTCGAGGAGGTTGCGGAAGATGTGGTTCATGGTRGATTGGAAGGTAGCGGGGGCATTGGTGAGCCCGAATGGCATCACGAGGAACTCGTAGTGCCCGAACCGAGAGCGGAAGGCGGTCTTGTCGGTGTCCTCCTCGCGGATACGGATCTGGTGGAAGCCACTGCGAAGGTCGATCTTGGTAAAATACTTGGCTCCACGGAGACGATCAAGGAGCTTGGAAATCCGAGGTAGGGGGTACTTGTTCTTGATCGTGATCCGGTTCAAGGCGCGGTAGTCTGTGCACATGCGGAGTTCCGAAGTTCCACCTTTCTTGACGAAAAGGCAGCTGGTTCCGAAGGGGGATGAACTTGGCTTAATGAACCCTTTTTCAAGGAGTTCACCGAGTTGCCGCTTCATTTCTTCGGCTTCGGGGACAGAGAGTTGGTATGGAGGGTGGCAAGGTGGAGAATGTCCGGGTTCCAAATCGATGGTATGCGATACGCCACGATCCGGAGGTAGTTCGACGGGTAAGGACTTGGGAAAGACGTCCCTGAACTCGTCGAGGATTGAGGTGATGACGGGGTTGGAGGGGGGGGGCTTGATCGGGTTTGTCCGTCGGGAGTAAGTCCTTGGGACTTTCGCGATCAAGGACAAGACAGTAGTAGGCGGAGTCAGGGTTTAGGCGAGCCATGTGGACGAATTGGTGCGGGGTGACAGAGCCTTGGGAGGTCGGATATGGGAGATAGGGGATGTCGATGGTTGTGTCGGGGGGGTTGGTGAGGCGAAGGAAGTTGGGGTGGAATGCGTATGGCATGTAGCGGTCCAGCCACGGGGTTCCTAAGACGATGTCGCACATCAAGTGCATGACATCAAACGAGACCTGACTGCGGAGGGTCACGACGGTCATGGTGGTCTCGGGAACCGTGCGGTCTACTACGACGGCGGTGTCTTTGTCCCCTAGGCGAATCGTGATCGGGGAGTCATAACCGGTAGAGGTAAGACTGACTTTGCGGACACACACGTCGGTGATGAAGTTACCGGTGGCTCCAATGTCGAGGAGGGCCCGGAACTCAGTTGTAGACGCACCAAGGGTGGCAACGATGAATTTGAGGTGGAAACGAGATGAGTTTGCAGTGGAGATGACGGTGTTGAGGCGGCGTTGTTCGTTGCCTAAGCGGACAAGCTGATCGTGTCGGGCTTGTTCCTCAACAACATCGAAGAAGGTGATAGTGGATGGGTTTGGAAGAAGGGTAGAGGAGCATGAGGCAGTGGGAGGCGTTTGCGACGCCTAGGAGTCGTCCGGTGGAGGGGGCGTCGCCGGAGAGGGGGGAGGCAGACGAACTGTCGATGCCAGATGGGCCATCGGTGGGACGGACGACGTCACCGATGGGTGGGCCGACAGACGCGATGTCGATGTCGGGTCAGTGTCCCGGGGACTGTGTTCATGATGAGGAGGGGCCCGCGCTTGCCGAGGGCGGTGATGCGGAGGTTGCGGGTCGAGTGGAGGCGTACTGGCGGGTGATCGTGCGGCTGGGGCAGTTGGTTTGTTGGTGCCCCAATTGGCGACAACGGAAGCAACCCCCTTTTGCTTGGAGGTAGGTGCGCTCCTCGGGGGTGAGTTTCTTGAGGCGGGAGGGTGGGGTAGATGAGGGTGGTCGGGAGCTGCAATCTCTGCGCTCCATTCTCATGAACTGGACGACATCGAGTTCCTCGGAAGTGAGGGATGAAGAGTCGAGTGAATCGGAAGATGCGTCGGGGTCAGGTGTGGTGAACTCGTTGAGGAAGTGATGGAGGTGGTGTCTTCGGGGGTGATGTGGTGGAAAAAGCGGGTGCGGAGGTGCCGGGCGGGGGGTGGTGGTTGGGGTGGAGGAGTCGATCGTGGTGATGCGGTCGCATATGGACGACATGTTGGCCTTTATGTCGTCGCGAGAGGCGGTGACGGAGGTTCGAAGGGTGTTGAGTGCGTGGAGGATGGCGGAGAGGTAGGGGGTGGCAGTGCTTGTTGGTGGTTGTTCGCTTGCGAGGTTGCGGGCGATGCTATCGACTGAGTCGGTGCGGATGTCAGACATGTTGATGGAGGATGCGGCCATGTCGGGGGAAGACGGGGTGGAGGACGTGGCCTGAACGGGTGTGGAGGATGCAGGCAGTGGTGGCGGCGACAGCAGCGGCGGCGGCGGCGGCACGTTGGGAGTTCTTGGTTTGGCGTGGTGGCATGTGGAGGTGGGGGGGGCAATCCCTTATTTATTTATCAATAAATTCAAAAATAAAGATAACTGCCAAGAGTTTTTTTTTTTTGGAAAGTAGGGAATTAATATTGAATAAATAAATTTATTCCGATTGGAATTTTATTTATTCGAAATTAATTTGGGTAGAACAAAACTTTGAAGGATCCAAAGAAGAGATTTACAAAATTCGTTGTTCAAAATATTGGAAGAAAATAAATTTGAATTTATTTCAAAATTTGTTTACGTGAAATTTCGGAATATCTTCGAATTATAGAAACACGTGGACGCCGTGGCGCACAGCAACACTCGCTGATGGCATCTCATTTTTCTTTCATGTCTCTGTTTCTCTCTCTCTCTCTCTCTCTCTCTCTCTCTCTCTCTCTCTCTCTTTGTTTCTTCCCATGTTGTGCGTGGCGGGCATCGGTGCTTGTCGTCTGCTCTCTCTCTCTCTCTCTCTCTCTCTCTCTCTCCTGTCTCTTATACACATCTAGATGTGTATAAGAGACAGGTCTTACGTTTTGTAAACGGTCAACGGATTGTTGTCCG